GTACCATGAAGATATTTGGTAAATTTCCTACCGTAAATATATCAAAACTTAATTTTTGATTAGTAATATGCATTGCTAAGGACTTCATTTGAACAACTTTAAAGGCGATTTTCTCAATATTTAATTTTTTTGGACCCTCAAGAGTTTCAAATAGTTGTATCTCGGTCAAATATTGTCCTAACAAACCATACATCAATGGAAAGCTTCTTTATTCAGCTTTCAGATGATGCATAAATCTCAATTTCAAAAAAATGACCCTTATGACTGGTTTTGTGCTCCAGGGTCACATATTATCTGCAATTAAGAGCACTTTGTCAGTAAATCCTTTTCTCTTGATCTCATTTGCAGGCCTGATTTTTTACGACACCAAAGTGACTTTTATGAACCGGGTGCTGAACGCAAGCGTCCAGCGCACAGCGGATCACGCCGCGCCTGAGGTCACGCTCGACCCGCTGGAGATAGTGGGAGGTAAACCAATGAGGTGTCACTCATTCAGACGAGGGTCTGTACTATATCAGTTCCTCATGCTTACCGTGTGTGCTGCAGGAGAGACGCGTGCAGCAGAGAACACGTACTTCTGCCAGGCGGCGCGTCAGCTGTCCTGCGTCCCGTCGTCTCAGCTGTGTGTTCGGATCGCCAGCGGAGGAGACCCCACCTACGCCTTCAACATCCGCTTCACCGGGGAGGAGGTCCACGGCACCAGTCAGTGTCACGCACCGCTTTCATGCACTAAACACTACACTTCCAACATAACAGCTGCTCCTTCTGTGATGCATTCCTCCTATTATTATATAGTATCTATTAGCATTTTGAATTAGCCTTTCTATTTATATTTTCAGTTTTAGTCATTTTGTTATGCAATTTTGTCATTTGTGTTGTTTTTTTTCTATTTATCTTTAATTTATTATTATTATTTCTATTTTAGTCATTTTAGTCACTTCAACTTTTATTTTATTTTATTTTATAACTTCAACTTTTTTTAATTTAATTTTATTTCAGTTTGTTGCCAAGGCAACATTCATTATTTTTTTAATAAGTTTTTCATCTAATATTTATATTTTATTTCAGCTTCATTTCAGTTAACAAAATTATTTTTAATTTAGTTGCAGTAACATTAACAAATATAATAACTATAACACTGGTTAGGGAGAAAGTTGGCTACATTTTAGCAAGTTTTAATAATTTTGTAAATTTTGTCTTTTTTTTTTTTTTTTAATATTTCTATTTTTATTAATTTTATTTATTTTTATTTTTAGTCATTTTAGTACTTCAGTGTATTTTATTTCAGTTATTCAGTATATCAATTTCTAATTTTAATTTAATTTATTTAATTTATATTTCATTCATATTTATTTCATTTAATATTTATATTTTATTTTATTTCAGTTAGTTTTAATTAACAATAACAGCACTATTTGACAGGAAAACTAATTGGAGCAACACTACTGATGTTACGTTTACTATGTGCAACCTTTTTTTATTGTATTTAGTATGCATTTTTCTGTTCAAATTTGATGCGGTCACAGATTGTTCAATCATTAATTTCATTCTTTCGTTTGCTAGCAAAAAAAAGTCTATCTTTAAATTATAAATTAATGAGTTTTATAGTTAGATTTTCTATTTATAAAGTTTGTTGCTTATAGTGTAGTAAGCCATGATGCAACTGTTTTGCCACCCCGTTCAGTATTATTTATATACTATTATAGTATTTATTAATATTTTGAAATAACTAGTTTTAATCTAAATATACCCCAGCGACTTAAGACTGCTTTGTGCTCCAGGGTCACAGTTATGTATAAACTGTATTGCAGATCCGGGGTTCTTATAGTAAACTAAAACTGAAACTAAAATTAAAACCATTAAAAAATTAAAAAAAACGTTTTTGTTGCTTGAAATAAAATAAATGGTAACTGAAATAAAAAGGCAACACTGTCATTTTGATTTACTTTAACTTGGTGATTTACTTAGTTGAAATAACAAAAACTGAAATAAATATGGAAACTATATAGACTTCTATAAAAAACAAACGACTAAAAGCGACAAAAAACAAAATTACTTTAACAAAAATTAAAATAAAACGGATAAAATATTTTTTTATTTTTTTATTATCTCAAATAACTGCACATAATTTAATATTAATGAAATAAGAGGCCACTTAAGTGACTTAAAGACAGACACTTTCATGACTGTTTAATACACTTAAGCACACTTTTAAAAAGTGTAAATGTCAAATAAAAAAATAAAAAATAAATTTATAATTGTTTTAATAATGTTTTTTAACAATTACACTCATTTTGATGTGTTGACTAACAAACTAAAGCACATGTAAAGCACTTGATTATAATTTTAACTGGAGTGTGTTATTCAGTGTTACATGTAAAGTTAATATATTTTAAATGTAATAAATTGCAACTTTACAAATGTGTAATTACAAATATATTTAAATACATGTCATACAAGTTTCAATAGAAATGCATTAAAGTGTATTTTAGTGTATCATAAATACTTGTCAGTACATTCAGCAGCACTTTAACCATATTTCAAAGACAATAGAAGTAATTATGAAACTACATATAAAGATGTACTTAAGTCCTACTTAAGTGGGTCAAAAACACTCTAAAGTTCAGCTAATTGCATTTATTCTAAATTTAAACTGTGAAACATTTAATTGCAATTAACATTAAGTTTCTGAAAGCATTACATTCATTACACACTTAAGTATATTATTAGTCCTCTTTTTAAAAGTATGCTAAGTGTATTCTTCATCACTTCCTGCTTTAATTCTGAACCCGTCTTCTTGTTCTCCTCGTCTTGTTCACAGTTGCCCGATGAGGCGGAGCTGGAAGCGTTATGTGCTGAAGTCTCGTCGCAGAGCCACTTGGGCGAGAGCCCGGATTCACCGAGCCGTCCCTGCTGCACATTCACATACATCACCATGACCGGAGAGGAAGTAGAGCTGTGCCACGGAGGAAGTGACATCGCCGTCAGGTAGGAGCCATCGACCGACCTATTTAAAGGGACGGTTATCCCAAAAATGAAAATCCTGTCATTAGTGACTCACCCTCAATTCGTTCCAAACCTGTACGAGTTTCTGTCTTCTGTTGAACACAAAAGAAGATATTCTGAAGAATGTCAGTTGACGGTAGCCATTGACTTACATAGTATAGAAAAAAATACTGTGGAAGTCAATGGCTACTGTTTTGGGGTGAATTATCCCTTTAATACTATTCATGTAGCTGAAGTTGTACTTCATATTAGGGATGCTCAAATAAAGAAATGTTAGGTGCTTCTTGAAGTTAATAGATCGATGGTCTCTAATGCATGTACTTGTGTTTGTTCAGCTGGGAGAATAGAGATGTGTATGTGCGAGCGGTGCGAGATCTGCGCCGGCGGGAGCTGCAGAATGTGGAGTGTATGTCGGCCGTCCGCGCCGGTCTGGGCTCCATCATACCCCTGCAGCTCCTGACCTTACTGAGCCCCGCAGAGATGGAGCTGCGCACCTGCGGCCTGCCGGACATCGACCTGGAGTTCCTCAAGGTCAGACAGTGAACCGCTCAACTCAGCCTCCTCCGTTCTTTCGTTCATTTGCAGACTTTGAAATTTTATCGCTTGCATTCATCTTTGTCGACTTGCTTCTCGTCCCTTGTGAAAAAGAAGTGAAACCCGTGAAGTGCATGCTCACGCAAAAATGAAACTTTCCTGTTAATTTACTCACCCTCGGGCCATCTAAGATGTGACTTTTTTTCTTCAGTAGAAGAGTAAAGAAGATTTTTAGCTGAAACCGTGCTCCTTTGTGATTCAGAAAATTAAGTCACTGGCTGCCGTCACTTTGAGAGTCAAAAAAAGCATATCAAGTGACACAAGATGAATCCCTGTGGCTCCCGACGATATATCGAGGTCTTATGAAGCGAAACGATCAGTCTGTGCAAGAAACTGAACATTATTTACAACGGTAATCCAGAGCCTCAGGCAAACAGTGTTGACCGGTTCACGAACTAATCATTCTTTTGAACCGGATCTTTTTAGTGAACAGGATGAACCAGTTCATCAGATCGCACTGAAGCGTCTGAAACAGTTTGCGGCTCGAGCAGCACAGCTCTACTCAATCAAAACTCACTTTCGGATGCCTGACAGTCACTCCGACTCAAAACGAGCCATTATGCCGTCGTATCTGATCCTCAGATGAATTAACTGATTCAGCGCTCCAGTTCCTCCAGCAGTCACTGAACTGAGGACCGATGAGCTGCTGATATTGTTGATAATTGATCATATTTATGTAAAAAAAAAAATGAGCTGATGAAGACAAGTTTATATGCTTTAGACATGTAAAACATCCACATTTCACATCAATATTGGATACTTTAATAATTGCGTATATGTTACGTGATTGCGTGTTTACATAAACGAACTGGTGAGTTGTTATTTGAATCAGTTCATTGAAACGAACTATCCGAAAGAACCGCTGAAAAGAATCAGATTTCCCCGTTTGCCTGAGGCTCTGGATTACAGGTAATAATGTTATAAATAATGTTCAGTTTCTTGCACAGACTGATCGTTTCGCTTCATAAGACCTCAATATAACGTCAGGAGTCACGGGTATTAGTTGTGTGTCACTTGATATGCTTTTTTTGACTCCATTGGCCATTGACTTGCATTTTACGAATCACCAAAATTTTTCTTTACTGTTCGACCGAAGATAAAAGTCACCTACGTCTTGGACAGCCTGCGGGTGAGTAAATGAACAGCTAATTTTTTTAATTTTTGGGTGAGCTCTCCCTTTGGTTAAAAGCACTCCAAAGTTCAGCTAATTGCATTTAATGTAAATTTAAATTACAATACATTTTCATTTTGTTCATTCAGTCGGTACTTTGAGCGAACACCTTTACTGCACTAATACTGTGATCAGTTTTCCTTTGTTGATCATTTAGTGGTCATTTTTGTGAAATTTACCCATCACGTCCCTCACACAAAGGAGTTTTGTGTCACTCTGAAGGTGTTTATTTTGCGATAATGACTGACTGTACGTTATGCCACTTATTACACGGCTGTCAGGTGCACAAACAGCACCTGCGACTAGTTAACTAACCGAACCCGTTCTCCTGATCGCCTCCATCCAGGCTCACACCATGTATCAGGTGGGACTGATGGAGACGGACCAGCACATTGAGTTCTTCTGGGCCGCGCTCGAGATGTTCACGCAGGAGGAGCTCAGCAAGTTCATCAAGTTCGCTTGCAACCAGGAGCGAATCCCCTTCACCTGCCCCTGTAAAGACGGCGGTCCCGACACGGCTCACGTGCCCCCCTACCCCATGAAGATCGCCCCGCCTGATGGGGCAGTGGGTAAGTGTTAAACCATCATAGTACATATAATACAGTACGTATTGTATTATAAATAACATTTTTAAATACATTAAAACAGAAAACAGTAGTACTGTATTTTTGATCAAATAAATGCAGCCTTGGTTGAACATAAGAGACGTCTTTCACAAACATTAAAGGGACAGTTCCCCCAAAAATAAAAATGGTCATCATTTGCTCAGCCTGAAGTCGTTCCTAACCTGTGTGAGTGTCTTGTTGAACTGAAGGAAAGAATGTTGGTAACCAAACTATTGACGGTAGCCATCGACTTCCATAGTATGGGAAAAAATACTATAGAAGTCAATGGCTACCGTCAACAGTGTTGTTACCAACCAACATGAACCAAACTCATGAAGAGTAAATCGGATTAAATGATGGCAGAATTTAAATTTTTGGGTGAAGTATCCTTTTTAGGACACTTTAAAAAATAAGATAAAAATTATGGGGGATGTATATACAGTATATATATATATATATATATATATATATAT